TGAGGCAGTCCATTAAATTTATGGCTATCCCTTCCAGCAAATACTATTTTTAAGATGGAGACAATCTGAAGCTATGGGGGAATAAAAATGAGCCTTTATCCATGAATATTGTAATATATTTCCAGTATTTTTTCCCCAATAGATACCTCTGAAGACACAGCAGCCATCAATCCAGTGGATTCAGTTATGCCTGCCACAGGAACAGTCGCAGGAGATGCGGTCCAGCTTCTGGTGAAACGCCAAGCACCCACTGGATGCCTCCTCTATCGTTATGGAACCTTTGCCACTAATCTGGACATCATCCGTAAGTCTAGGGAATGATGGGTAATAGGAACCATTGAGCACCCATACCAAGTAGGCCAGAGGCTGTTGGGCAACATTAGGCAAGGAGGATGGATCTAAACTACGTGCAAAGCCATCTACCTTTAGAAGATGACAGAATAATGTGATTGGCATAAGACAGCCTTCCCCAACCCAAACTTTGCCACATATTTTTAAAGTTCCAAGCTAGCAGAGAATTGTGATCAGAGTACAATTGGAAGATAGATTAGGTAAGACTAACATGACATGTCTGGGGCTAAAAGCTATACAAGATGTCCTTTGAAAATTAAATTGTCCATTTCACACTCTGTTTTCCATATCTGAAAGCATGTCCATTTTATGGTGTCTTTGGTGCTGTCTGAATTTGGTTGTTTGCTTTTGCACTGCTGATGTTACTTTTCTGGGTAATAAAACACTTGCAAGAAAATAACCAAGTTCAGAGAACACCATGGACTCCACAGTTCAACCCTGAGCTAACCAATAGTCTCTTCTATTGTAACCATGTCCTTTTTACCTGAAAAACTAAACATTTTCTTCCAGTTAACTTTGGTGTAAAGAAGCCAGGTTTAAAAGGCCTCCACATACTGTACAGGAATAACTCACAGAGTGAGGGGGAAAATATGGGACATCTATGCTGCATAAACATTTCTGTGTTCTCTTTTATTGCAGAGGGCATCGAGAGTGTGGAAATTGTGCAGGTAATGCCGCTGACGCCCGCTATTGCTGAGAATGCAGTAGATCTTACTGTGACGTGCCAGGGAAGGTAGGTTTCATAGGTTAAAAAAAAATAATAAGTCTGATATCAGAGTCCCACTTTCTTAAAGTAGTTGAAGCATGTGGGATCATGGAGCAAAAAGAAAGGATATTGCAGGGGTCTTCAAACTTGGCTCTTTTATGACTTGTGGACTTCAACTCCCAGAATTCCTCAGCCAGGCACGCTGGCTGAGGAATTGTGGGAGTTGAAGTCCACAAGTCATAAAAGGGCAAGTTTGAAGACCCCTGGGATATTGAGCAACTGGATCTGTGAAACAAGCCCCTCAGAATGGTGGGTGTTTGGAAAGATTTTTGAACAACAATATTTGAATAGCAGAGCAGTCATGTGGAAACCTTGCCAAGGGGAGTGTCCATATGTATGATTTTGGGAAGGGAACTGGCCTTTTTCTGATGGATGGACTAATAGCCTTGTTTCACTTATAGCCTCCCTGAAGAAGTCTGCACAACTATCTCAGATCCTGATTGTGTGATAGTCCAAGAGAGTATATGCAACCCTGTTCAACCAAGTCCAGACTGCCAGTTTGTTTTGCGCCAGGCCTTCAACCAATCTGGCCTCTATTGCGTCAACATCTCACTGGCTGATGCCAACACCTTAGCTGTTGCCAGCACCCAAGTCAGCATCCAGAGTAAGGCCCACTATACTATGGTGACCTAAGTCTTCTGTAGGACAACGTTCCTTCTGTTTCTCTTTATATTATCGGCAGTTTTATTGCAATCTCTCCTTCAAGTATGCCGACCACCAGAGGCTAAATATAATGGCTGGATTTATACATCTTCTAAGCCATAGTTAACAACCACAATGACTAAGTTGACATACATCTAAGCTAAGAACAATGGGATGGGGAGGAACAGACTCAGACTCAACCCTTCCAAGACCGAGTGGCTGTGGCTGCCGGCGCCCCGGCATAGTCAGCTGATTCCATCGCTGTCTATAGGGGGCGAAATTTTGGCCCCCTCAGAGAGGGCACGCAACTTGGGTGTCCTCCTGGATCCACGGCTGACACTGGAAGACCATTTGTCGGCCGTGACCAGGGGGGCGTTTT